TTCTTTTTCGTGTAGAAAAAAAGTCCCATAGATTTTTACAAATGGACAGGTGTTTACAAATTTACTATTTTTTTATAAATGTGAAAATACATGCAATTAGTAGTGCCAATGTTATATTGCGTAAATAAAGAGTATCCCTATATAGGTAACATTTTGTAATTTGTGATGACGATTTACAAAGATAACATTTAGGTTCCATGCAAATCCCAACCTTGGCTTTCTTATGAGAAGTTATCATGACATTGACCTTCATTACAGAATACTTAGTGATATTTAAGCAGGGCCAGGAGCTTTTGTTGTATGCAAGATCTTCGGGCTCCTAACCTGTAGTTCACTCCTTATCCTCCAGATGTCCTTGTAGGCACTCTAATTTCAGCAGTCATTAGGCAATCGGCGTTGGCAGCGCAGTTAAACATACCATTAGAAACTAATCTGGTAAGAGACAAATTGATGCAATAAAGTATAAAAACAGAAAAAAATGTAGAAAAAGAGCATTTCATTGTGTGAACAAATACAACATCTTCAAGGAGTTCTGTACACAGATTAAAAATTTTGCCAAATGTGTAATTTAGCATTGGACCATGCTCGAAAGATTACAACAGACCAACATTTAATTCAAAATCACAAAATCATATAAAACAAAAAGCTAAGATTGACTCTGGTGAGATGGAGTCCTCTGTATAATAAATGCAATGGATACTACACCAATGCATACCTGCATTTCCCAACAAACGTACAGTAAAACCTCGATATATGCAAGTCATACATTCGCAATTTCACCCATTCATGCAAAAGTTTTAGAGAACTGCTTTTTCTGCATTTGGCGACCAGATTCGCTCATTTGCAGGCTGTGCAGTAGGACCATAAATGTAGGCAGCCGCCTGTGCATCTTCATCTTGTTGATGTACTTCACCTGACCTGCACTGGTCTCTGTAGCAAAAGTATAGCTTGGTTAACAAAGAGTTAACATGTTTATATAGAAGTGCATCATGGGTCATTCTTTAGTTATTCAGCGTCCTTCAAGAAAGCATTAGATGTTCATTGTGTGTAGACCTGTTATCATAAGTTATGCAAGTATACAAGTCTTGTGCTGCAAAATAGAAGAAACATTAAATAACAAAATAAGCTTCTGTGCTATCACAGGCTCAATTCAAGCATGTCTCAGAAAAAGGATAACAAAATAAATTAGAAGACAAAGAACTAGACAAACCACAGGAGAAAGAAAGTGAGTTGGTTGAGTGAAGGAAATAAGTACACTTAATTTACTTTGTTATTACTGTTCTGTAATAAATCGTATTACAGTACATTAGTGATACATTTATAACATGAAAACAAGATGTTAAAAGTAACGAAAATGCTCTTGTACTAAGAATGAAAAAATGAATGCAGAGTAAGCTATAATAACAGGGATCTAATTTGTTTGCACAAATAATTATAGAATTATGGATTGTAGGGAGAAAACAATGCTTTGCTTTAATTTTGCAGGATCCATTTTCATTAAAATACTTCCTTCCAGTAAATACAAACACTACTTCTACAGTTCTACCAAAAATATGTTTGTTTCTCAGGCCTTGGAACCATAACTTGTTTTTGCCATAGGGTATTAAATGCTACATTCCATGAATTCTCCATTTGTGGAGACTTCAAGGTATCAATCCCTCACAAATACAAAGGTTTTACTGTAATAAACTGGAGACAATTCCCACAGCAGGTCAACTGAGAAAGAAGTGTTTATTGCATGCCTTCTACTGGCCAATTCTATGACACTATAAAGAATCACTCTATTTTGCACATTCTGTTTTACAAGGGCGTAGTAGTTAGAGCTGGTGAAATGACAGTTATTCTATTTTATCTTATGTGCACTTGATAATTATTTTATTATCAACTGTTTAAACGCTTTTGAAGTGGATTTTAAAAATATGAATGGATTTTTCTCAATGCCAGAAATACAAAACAAGGTACATGTATACATTTACTGTATATTGTTCATGGCTTGTTGTCAAATCTAGTGCCTGCTATTTTGTTGTATAATGTCCACATATTTGCCTGTGTGCGTAAGATATAGGCAAATAATTTCCTGAAAGCAGACATGCTTGTTGGAGCTACAATTTAAGTTTTTAAAGATTGCTCAAGGTTAAAACATTTTAAAGAACATCGGAGAGATATAATTCTATAGATTCAACTACTAAAGTACATTTATGTTCTAAGCCATACATAACAAGAGGCTCTAGTATTCTGCCCCAGAATATCTTTCCAAATATACTGTACAGTATTCGTTTTTGTCTAAGCTTTGTGGAAACGGACACTGGATACAATGTAACACAATATAATGTTGAAATCATTGCTGAAGGATATACGAGTTTTCTTTGGCTGCTACACATGGAAAGCATCTGGTTGTTTTAGTACAGTGGTTTGAGAGTTGTGAAGTTAAGAGTCCATGAAACATACATAAAACTAAGGAATTAAATGCATACTGAGAATTGGTACAGCAGATGCACAGCACAGACACCACAATAAATAGACATACAGCATAGTTGCTGATAAAACGTTGTATACTTCAAACCAGAAAAGAAAAAAAGAAAGAGAAAACATGTTTCATTCATTTCTCGAGCCAGTCAGGACATTCAACCTAAAATACAGTAAGCATGCAGTTTGGATGTGGATACCCTCCTGTAAGATTTCTGAATTTCATGGTGAATGCAGATTCCAAATTGGAGAAATAAAAGCACTATGCAAAAGAAGTTAGCTGTGGAATTGGTCTGTACGAATATTGAACTGAAGCTAAAAAACTATTTCCTAACTTAACACAAACAGCTAAGTGGTATTTGTTTTACACACTGAGATTTTAATCCATAAAAAAAGAAAAAGTAAACCAACTGACAATGATTACATTCAACAGTAAATTAGAGGAGCGGATACTTTTTTTCACTGGACTGTGACACTTACAGTAAGTGCTCTTTGCAAACTGCCTTTAATTATTTTAATTGTCTGTTTTATGTAGCCTACAGCAGCAAAATTATGTTATTGCTCTCTTTTGGATTTAAATTTTTAAACAAACTATTCGATTGACACATTATACATATTCCTGGTGATTTTAATTTATTGCCACATTGTGATACTACTGAATAAAACAGATGCATGATTAAAAGTCAATAGTTATATCACTGTTAATCTACATGTTTATGCATGTAATTTGAAGTAATTAAATAACTAATTGAGATGATTAAGGTACCAAAATGTAAATAATGTTTGAATAAGTGGCTTTAAGAGAGGCTATATCGACACTTTTGGTACTGTAGGACTGAAATAGAGGTTAGAGAATTAGTCAAGAAAACTCCAAGCCCAATCTATAAGGCACAGAAAATGTCAAATACTAAAAGTGTGCAAGAGGAAACATTTTATGAGAGGTAATAGTCCATTTTCTGTACTAGATTCATTGCTGGCTGTCCCACATCTCATACGCAGCAGAATTCATGTAAAAGAGAATGATAAATAAAAAATAAAAGTACACACAAAAGTGTTTATTGTATATACATTGTATCAGGATGGCAGGAGCATAGGGCAAGATGGTGGATCTGGACCCTTCATCCTCCCGTAGTCTAGGGGATGACCTTTTACCTTCCATTACCCGAGTACCCAACATATTGCAGACATTTTTCGCCATGTATGAAATTTTGTGTGGTGGCTTGGTGTTGTGGACTTTTCAGTTACACAAGGGCATCAATATGGTGGAAGATAGTAAATATATGGGGTGCTGAAATCCAAATAAAACCAGAAAATAAATTTCTTCTGATAGCTCTTTACTCAACCAGGCAGATAAGCTGCATACTGACTTACACAACACAGCATGATGCAACCAATAAATCTAATTTCTTAACCAGATCATGGTAAACAACTTTGATTTATTGCTCTTCTTCAGCTACATTGCTCTCTCGCTCTTCCATACAGCTAACTGGCAAGGATCTGCTCCCTAAGGTAGGCAGCAGATTACTGGAGCTGGAGCTCTCTCTCTCTCTCATTTGCTCCATCTTGTTTTACATAGTCACCTGACCGATCACTCACTGGAGTGGTCAGGAGAAGGTAGATAAGAGGTCATCTCCAGGTGGATGTAGGAGGGAAAAGATCCACCATCATGCCCCTTTCCTAATGTTCTGTTATTATATATAAATAACCCATACTCAATAAGGAGCACAGGGCAGACAGGCACCAGATCTGCTTTAGAGAGGGTAGGATTATGAGGTGGGGTTGCCTAGCTCCCCTCCATACAGGGACCAAGGAATGAATCCAGGGAGGCGTAATTAATGTGTCCAATCAAACCTATTCTGTACATCTCTTTGAGATGGGAGTAAACCAGAATACCTAGAGAAAAACACACATGGGGAGTGCATAAAAACTCCTCAGTGACAAGCATCCTAGGCAACAACTGAACCCAGGAACCTGAAGCTGTGAGACAACAGCACCAGGTACTGCAACACACACTCACATTCCCCTACCAAACTGTTATAGAGAATGCCTCTAGCAATGATTACAGCTGACATGAGATGTTCACCAATGTCTATTGAGATATGGCATCTCACATTGGTCTTACAAGATAAAAGATGCTGTGCAGTGCATCCTTTGGTTGAGCAGCCTCTTGTGGCCAGTATTATGTATTATGTTTTTTTTTTTCATCCATCAATCACTGTCTGTAAAATGCCAAGTCTGAATTAATACATTAGCCAAGTCTGCCACTACTACCTTCAGCAAGGCTCCAAAGGTACATGCAGCCATAATCATGTCTGTTTTGAGGTTACTTGTATCAGCCTTGTTTCCCAGACTTCAACACAGTGAGGAAACACCTGGTCTGGTATTTACAGTCTGCAGGAATAATGAGATGTACCGTAAAGTATGTTGGGCCATTACCATTATGTTGAACAGGATGCAATATATGATTTTCTAATATTTTGGTAGAGGAATGTATATTTGAATATATACATTTATATATGTATACATTACACACAAATAACAAAATTGCACTAACCTTCCACATTAAAATAAATTTAAAATGTTTCTTAAATTTCTGGGTTTTATCGCAAGCTGTTAATTAAGATTACAATAGCATAACAGAAGTAACACTATCGAAACCGTTCTTCAATTTTTGTTATTAAAATATCTGTGATGACTTGGAACAGTTTAAAATAATAAAAAAATTAAATGTTATTTCTTCCCGTAGAAATCCCAAGACATTTGATTTTAAAAAAAGTTTGGAATAAGCAAGAGTTTACATTGATACATTACAAAACCACTAAAGATCAGGAAAAAAAGACACCCTGAGTTTTACAGCAATGCAGTTTTCAACGAACAATATTAGTAGGGATGGTGACAACAAAAAAATGCACAGCTGTTAAATCATTCTCTCTGTGGTGTGCTTAAAGGTGTTTGAGATAGGAAGTCAATTTTTCAAGATTATATAGTATTGCACACATCTTTAATCTTTCTCCAATCTGGAGGCCCCATAATTCATTTTTTTTTTATTATCCAAGAGCACACTAGGAATTCCCCAAAAAATTACATTCCCAAAACATGAATGGGAATTACTCATAACCATTCAGCCTCAATCACTTTGATCCTTGCACTACTGTACCTTGGTGGACTTCAGTCACGAGAGGAACAGGAGTCCGGGAGTCACTGAGTGAAACTTTTTTGGATGGACACATTAGGAAAGTGAACGGTTAGTTCTTGTACCACACGGTTGTCAATCTGGGAGCAGAAGGACACATCAAGCAAAAGGAGGTTCTTACAGGACTGTAGCAACTTGCGAAGAGATGCTGGGCTCACCATTCGAGTTCCTGAAATTAGGAGGAACAAGCAGCTTTAACCAAGACATGACATTAATGGTCTACAGGAAGGGTGTTTAATTTATAGAAATTAACAATGCTTTGTGTGTATGACTTTTTTTCCCCACCACTACCTACTACACCACACTAACATTTCACGTTGCTATTTCTGCATCGACTGTTATCTTTTTAACAGTTTAGTATTTTTTAATTCATTTTAGCTGCATCTATAAAAATGCAGAGCTTTATTGATTTAAGCAAACACAGAACAGGTGACTACTTCCAATACTCAACTGTTCAACAACTGTATTAAAGTTCTTAAAAGGAAAACATTAAGCAATACTAAGAGAATAAAAGAACTACTGTACCTTTGCACGGCACATTTAAAACAACTTCTAGAATTTCAAAATAGAGAAGATAAAAAGCTACAAATGGTCCATTTCTTTATCAGTTGTACAGGAGCTTTTTTACTCTCACATCACTTAGAAGATAAAACCAACATGTATTAGTGTTCATAAAATAATTACAGGGCCACCAGAAAGTAATCACCTCCCTTGGGATTTTGCCACAATGTGTTAGGTTGCAAACTCAAATAGAAATCTACACAAATGACTATCATATCAAAGTGGAATTAAGGTTCTGGAAAAGTTTTTGCATGTAATTTAAAAGCAATCACTGGAATGTCTTCATCTGAAAAGTATTTATCCCCTTTCCTACAACACTCCAAAGTGAGCCCTGGTGCATCCAATTCCCACTGTGGTCAGTTCAACTGATCCTTGGACCAATTTGCCATAGAGTGGATTGGAATGCTGACTCGTTCAGCTATACCCAGTAACATTAGAGAAAACAAAATAGGCACAAATGACAAACAGACATGGACAAATAATTACAATACAGCCATGATAGGACATAGTGCAAACAGTGTGGTACCTTAAAGTGCAGGTGCTAATCTGAGCTGTTTAAGACTGCTTGGGGGTAGAAACTGGGGGAAACTGGGGGGACAATAAGACACTAACTTCCAAATGGGATAGATGGGCCGAATGCCATCCTCTCATTTGTGACCTTTCTTATGTTCTAACAAAAATGCAATATTATATTTAATATATTATGCAACTATATGCATAATTTTTTAAACAACCTATTTTGGTAAAGATTGGTGAGGGCAAGATACAGACCCTAGTATGGCAGAGGAACGAATTTTCTGAGATTTGTTTCATGCACTTGAACCTACTGTATATATTTTTTTAATACTCAAGGTCATAACATGAAAATCCCACTTCAGGAATATACAATGCAGATTTAATGACCATTTAAAAGAACTGCAACCGTTTATACTGTAGGGTGGGTCGTGTAATTAGATTACACAAAATTAGCTTGCACTGATCCATTCATAATGGTAATGGTACCTTGGTATTTGAATTAAAACGCTCATTAATAAACTACAACACTGAGCTGTGCAGAAAAGTCATTTAATTCATGAAAACTGTATGAAGTATGAGGCACAGTGGCAGGGTGGTTGGAACTTGTAACCTGAAAAGAGACCCAACCAAAACATCAAACATAATATGACAGTGGGCATGCTTAAATCAATTCTTGAGTTTTCAGGATTGAACCCTTTTTTGCTAGAAAATGTGCATGATTTGGCAAAGAAGACCAGTTCTAACACTGCTTTTAGTCATGGGGAGGTTATTGCGGCACACATCGCCTTTATTCAAGTATGGCCAGCGATCCTGACACACGCCTGCGCACCGGGCTTTTCAACTTCTCGGTTCCCTGCTCACCGAGGATGTCGAGGTGCTGCAGGTGGCGGCAGTGGGCAGCCAGCTCCTCGACGTCGGCGTCGCACACCGTCCGGTTGGCGGTGATGAAGAGCTTGCGCAGACCGGGCAGGTGGCGGGCCAGGTGCACGAAGCAACCGGTGCTGCTCTGCAGGGTGGAGCACCAGCCCAGGTCCAGCTCTTCCAGCAGCCGGCAGCCCGACACCAGGTCTCTGAGGCCTTTCTCCGTCATGTTCTTACAGCGCCACAGGTCTAGGGATCGGAGCTTTTTACACTTGGCGCTTATCATGCTAGCAATTAAGTCAAAGTCTTCAATCTGCAAAACAGGTCAGCACAGTATACTGGGTACAGTACATCCCTCCTTTCTCCACAGGTGAGTACAGCATTGTTATCCTCCCAGTGTTAACCCTTACTAGAAAGCCATTAAATTAAATTAAAAAGTTGGATTATTGTGCTGTATTGTGCATTTTTTATAATGTGCTATTCAAATCAACGGCTCTAATAATCCATAAGTGCATTCTTATTTATAAAGTGTACATTTTGCTTGGCAAAGTATTCTGAAGGACAAGCCACAGTAAATGTGAAACACAGTAATGCCTATTAATTTTTCTGTCAAGCAGTATTTCTATTAGGCTGTTGATAAATGTGACACAGAAGTATCAATTCATTTGCAAACTAAATGCATGCCACTCTTAGAAATAACTCATGAAATCATTATGGTGCTGAAAAGTGATTTGTACTCTTAAAAATAATGAAGTTACGGTGTACTTTAAAGCATGAAGCATCGAATGTCAGAAGAATCTAATTAATTGTACAGCATCACAATCTAATAATAAACTAGTACAGTCTAAAGAGAGAATAAATCTAGAGGGTGTACTACGGCACTATGGATGATGTCACTACATGGCAAGCAGCTCCCAATCTGCCATGACATAAATAAATTAAAAAAAAACCGAGCCATTCTTACCATGATGCAGCTGCCAAGGTTAAGGTGCTGAATCTCTGTGCAAAAAGTCAGAATGCTGAGCAGTGCTGTTTGCTGACAATGGGGACCACATCAGAAGCAGGCATGTAAAGAGAAACAAAGAGAAAAGAGGTCAATTAGGCATTAAAGGCTGTCAGTAAGTTCTATAAAATACTGCTCCCAGCTTAGGCTAAAGATACCACAAATGCTAGTTAATGAGTCCCTTGACGCCAAACCCATTGATTGTCTTGCAGTGAAGGCAATCATTACAAGGCTCAAAGTAGCAGGCCCAGATATGAAAATGCATGAACTGGAGCCACCATGGTCCCCTGGCCGCTAAGTACTCTTCCCATAGGAAGTCTCTTGGTAAATGTGGGAACCTTAAGTAACAGGCAAGATGGATGTACCCAGAGAAAGCATCAGCAAATGTCCCAGATAAGCAGAGGCAACTCTGACATTCAACGATCAGCCCAGTTGACAAGGCTGTCAATAATGGAGACAGTCAAAGCCACATCAAGTGATGGTGACCTTACCGTGTCAGAGGATTTCTGAGACTCACAGCTGTGGAGGACACTCTAAAATGCAGTGCACACGTACAGTATGCCTTATTCTAAAGTTTTGTAAATGCAGTCACTTCATGGAGCAAGCATACATATTGGTCATAAGGTTTGTAAAGAACGAATTGTGACTCTGCGTTTATACTTATTTTTAACAGGTCATATACTGTAGTTTCTTGCAAAAGTATTCAATTTTGTTGAATTAAAAACGCCGCAATACGTTTTTCTCTTTCTAATATGAAAACAATAATAGTTAAATAATGATTAACAAGATAACAAGATTGATAACAAAAGCTCCTATTTTATTTTGAATAGAGGCAACCTAGTTCTAGTTTAATGGGTCAATGAAACTAGTTGGTAGCGCTGAACCTCTTTATTTTGAAGGAGAAGCAAATACCTCGGTACGAGTGGCTTATAAAAGTCTCTTGCTGGACAGGTGTCTGTTGTTGGATAACATAAGAGCCATAAAAGAGCCATGAACATCTTATTAACCTGTCTTGCTTGGACTTCAGTGTTTCAGGTCCATAGTCCAAAGTAAAAATGGAAACCAAAGAACTCTCCATTACAGAAAGGGGGATATTTTTGAAAGAAAAACAAACTGAATCAGAACCACAGCAAAGAAGCTGGACATACCAAAATCAACCATTTTGAATACGCTGAAGAAGAAAGAAACCACAGGCATAATTACCAATCAGTCAAGTCTGGGTCGGCCAACAAAAACATCTGCAGCTGATGACAGAAATATTTTCAGAGATGTCAAGAAACCTAAAGCAACTGTCAGTGAAATCACCAACAACCCCCAGAGTGGAGGGGTGAAGGTATCAAAATCCACAGTTCGCAGAAGACTGAGACAGCAGGATAACAAAGGCTACACCACAATATAATCCTCCTAATCAGTACAGAGAAAAAAAGCAACATTTGCTAGATTCAATTCCAATCGAATACATATTTTACATGCTGTAGAAAAAAATAAAGTCACAACACTCCAAGAAGAGGCAATAACTCAATGTGACTGCAGAAGAGTCTGCAGGAAAAACATCTCAAATGATTACACAAAGAGGTTGGTAAACACAAAGTGTGAAAGACCTTGTGCATTTATGATCTCAGAGGGACATGATACCAAATACTGACTTTTACACTCTGAACTTTACTTAAAGCTAATTGTTATTTTGGTGTCCCAACACTATTATAAGGACCGGATTATATCTACATCCCTAAAGTGAAGAGATTGGCATCAAGCCTAATCCAAGGCATGGGTATTGACTCAGTTGGTTAGATTACACTAGACTAATAAAATAGTGATTTCACCTGCTACAGAGAGACCATAAAAGAAAGCCTGTCACACAGACCTCATCATCATTACTGCCATGCACTATTCTTGAATGAGTTACTTCTGCGATGTAAACTAACAATCACAATTTCTGTTTCTAGTTTTGTAATGTTATTACAATTATCCTGTTAGGAACACATAACAATTTCAAAAGAAGCTTACAAAACTTGTAAATAATATTTATGTAAAATAAGGAACAGGTAAAGGTTTATTCCATACTGAAAGGAAAAAGAAGAGACAACTTTTCAGGTATGGAGCCTTCTCCTTCTGTCAACACCTAAAGAAGGCTCCACAGCTGAAATGTAGCTGCCGCAGATACCCACTCAAGCATGTATGGTAAAATACATATTATTACAAGAGCAAGTTAAAAGCATCAACATAGTGCAATCAATCTCAAAGTTTCTATTACTTATAAAAGAAGAACCCGGGTAGCATGTTTCACTTCATTATTTACTGTACATTATGTATAAAATAAAACGATATGGAGTAGCATGTCAACCTTCATGGCTCCAGTGGACTGTTCTCTCTCATATCCCAGGCAGTATTGTTGTGCATATTATTAAAAAAAACTAAAATAACTTGAAAACATATTTCAGCTCAATAAATGGCTAAGCATTCCTTCAGACATACTGTAAATCACCTCAACTTGCCTAGCAAATACATAAACCTACTTACTGTTTATAAAGGTTATTCTGTTCTTTCAGGTTTAAGCATTATCAAGTTCATCAAAATAAAATGAATGTAATATTTAAAATGAGAAAAAATAAAATGATGCATGCATAGTGCAATAAATACAGAGCCACTAGACTTTTCTTCTGGCATTATTTCATGCACAATTTTCAAATCATAAAACTAAGAGACAATCTGACTCTCTGCCCAAATCTCGGGGTGGCAATTTTTTAAAAAACAGGTCTTGATATGTAAAATGATATATACAGAAATTCTAACTCAACCTAAACTTGCAATGGAATACATAATTATCATTGTCTAATTGGTAAATGTGGTTTTAAAAAAGGTTACTCTTCCAGGTTTCTGACATGATGCTTATCATGACAAAAAAGGTGCCCGACATGGGTATTTGTGGTTTCTTATTTTGCTACACATGCTCTTTTAAACAATAAAACCATAATACAATAATTATAATCCTGACAACATAATGACTATCTGCACTGGTAAGGTATCGGTATGAACACAGAGGGTGCTCTGTTTGTCAGATACTAAGTATTATGAACAAGACTGAGCAATACAAGGATACAAAGCATCATCAAGGTGAAAATCATGTCAGTAAAAGAAATCTGGATCCCCAAATGTACGGTTATGACATCTGTATTCTTTAAAAGCATAACTTTAAACTTTCACTTAAATAAACCATAGGTCTAGGGTTTAGGATAGATTAGAACTGCAGTAATAATTTGCGAAGAATTAAGAATTTACATTAACATCACTCATAGTTATAATTTAAGAATAATGAAAGTTACTATGTTTCTAAAACTGTTGGAGTGCAGCTCTGTTTTATATACATAATCCGCTACTTAGGTCAAGGTTAGTGCATATTTATTCTTGTTTAATGCACTCTAAGAAAAAATGCAGTAAAATTTAGAAGATATTCCTTACCAGTTCAAGATGTAAGAAATTATATACTAATTATTTGGGGTACAGTACATCTTACAGGAGTAAGATGTTTTTCATCAGTAGTTCCTATACAGTAGTTATAACTAATGTAGTTATCACTGCTCTGAACTCACAGTTCCCCAAATTTGCTACACTAATCTTGTAAACACTGTAATACAATAATTGACTTCCAATTAGCATCATTCACAGTGCCTTATCGCTTATGATTTGTATTGCTTTTTATTTAGTATTGCAGAATATCAATACATAACACACTTAACACAAATAGTAAAATTCCCGGGTATCAGCCAAAAATGAAATCAGCTCAGTGTTGCATCTGACAACCTTGACTGAAAATGTTGCTGGTTTTGGTAAAGTGTCTCTGAGCCTGTCTGGGAAAGAGATAACCATTGCCATAAAACAAGCATTTGTACATCTCAGCAATAATTATTATCTTGCTTTGATTAAACACATCCTCATGTACTTTAAGGCATCTAAGATATGAGCTGCATCTGAAAATGTCATTTCATTGCAATGAATTATTTGCCAGGGTACAGGTTTTTCCACGCTTGTTCCTTCTTACCTCAATTTTTGTGCGATAAAGGACAAGCCGTCTTAACCATGACAATTTGGATATGTGGAGAAAGGACTGAGGATGCAGCCTATCGCAGGAGGAGAGGTTTAGTTCCTGGAGGTTTGGACACATCTCGGCAATGACCTCTAGACAGGCTTCATTCAGAAAATGGCAACAGGCCAATTCAAGACAGACTAGCTTTGCACCACACGCTTTCATAAAGCTACATTTGGGGAAAAAAAAAGAGAATGATTTCAAGTAATTCCCAACCTGAAACTAACTTTTGCGGAAAAAAATTATAGCATACTGTAGTTCAAGTTTTAAGATATTACAGATCACAGTTGTAAATAAAGAGTTATTACTTACTATTTTCTGTAAACACATAAGGTTCTGAATTTTATAGGAAAGATGATTGTCATTTTAACTGTGTATACAAGTACTGCACATATAGAGAAATACTGTTCTAATACTACTGTATAAGGTACAGTATAGGGCAAAATAATATTATGCCTTAATATTTTCTAGTATAAAAGGAAATTCTTAATGTTAATACTGTATGTCCTAAATTAATATGCACATACAATAAAAACTAAACAATTCCTTTGATAACTCTTCCAATATGTGCCAATAAAGAAGAAGCAAATTACAATACCTCTGATATTTGTTCACATTCCACAGATGACAAAAGAGGAAACTGCAATGGTTTTACACCACATTGGCAGACAATAAGGCTTTTGTTAAAACAAGCACTAACCTGTGAAAACCTGAGTATGTTATGGCTCCTCGGTTGCCACACCATGACATGTTGAGCCTCTGAATCTGGGTACAGCGAGACTGCAGGTGCTCCAGAGAAGCATCTGTCAGTCGAGCCCAGTATGGCTGTAAACTCAGCTGGATATACTGAAGAGGATCACAGCAGTGCTGGTGTAGCAGCTTACAGGTCTGTGCCAACCTGCATAAGTCTGGCAAGGTGAGGTGACTCACTATCAGTTGAATCAACTGGAACAAAAAAAGATAATTGGAGTGAGAGTTCACTGCAGGGTTTTAATACATAACAGGAATGCACTTAATCTTCAAAAGGAATATCAAAATGAACTAATTACAGTCAAAATCTGTAGGTAGAGTAATGTAGTAACACATGTATCACTTAACCGTACAAATGCACTCAAGGGTCTTTTGAGTTGAATAATGGTGTTAAGCAGACTGTATTTTGTATTTTACTTTGTCAATTTAAATTAACAGCTAATATTGAGAAATTAAGTTATCTAAAATACATGACTTGTAGGAGAGAGGACTTCCTAAACCATCTTCTTCCATGCTCATCCCTTAACATTGCAATGGTTCTGGGCGACCCATGCGTCAAGAGATTTTCATAGTCTCCTTCAAGCAACAGCTTCAACTTGAAGAGCTAGCTAGCAGTTATTAAATCCAACTAAGCCAGTTATGATGTGATTTAGGTAATTAAGAGTGGAGCTGAAGTGGAAATCTGAAGACACATTAGCCCTCCGGGACCAGAACTAGACACCACTGATCTAAATTTTAAGAAACTTTTGAGATGAAGTCAAAATATTCAAATTATGCTCTTTTGCTTTGCAGTTTAATTGAAATACATTTAGTCTCAATGTCTTTATAGGGTCAGTCAAGATAAAAACAAACACTGAGCACAAATGGCTTTCCTATATACCTGAGGGTATACAGTATATGCAGAACGTCTATAGTATACTGAAGTTCTCTTCAGCAACCTCAATACTTTCTTGTTTTACTTTATGTACAACACAACATTGTGCTACCGTCTTCTTTGTGTGTTTTTCATCAGATGCACTCTTTACATTGGAACTGAAAAGTTCAAATATTGTTTCATATGTTCACAATACATAAACAATATCCATGTCAGATCTCTTCTGTGCTGAGATCTGACATGGAATTCAAATGAATAAGGAAAGTGGAGTAAGGAAGTATTTGTCTTAAACATTTAAGTAATCAGTCTGTCATCCGTTTGAGGTCTTTGCCTTTCTGCTAACATATTTACAATTTCATCTACATGTTGATCTCAGAATGCACACTATTAGCCATACCATGGTTTTTCTACTGTATGTTCTCAAAGTCCAATACAAAAATAAGGACAAGAAAATGAACATGATGTTTTGTCTGTTTGCACAGTACTTACTGCAGAAATAGAAAGAAAATGTCTAAAGGCAGGACATAATTCTTCAATACCCTCAGCCACTAGTTGATAAAGTTTTTTTTCCCAACACAATTATGATCCTAAATGAAGTAGGGCAAATGCAAATTCAGAAAGCAGAAAATTGTAAACTTTCTTGGAATGCAATTGGATGAGCTTGATAGGAATATTAAGCTTATATGTTGGTTTGGACTTAATGGTGAACATCTGATTGCAATCTGCTGCTACAGCTGTATGACAGAATGCCGGGAGTATCCTGTGAGTGTTCTGCAATTGCTAAGAAGGGTTAATAAATTTGTAAAAGAAAAGGCTGCAGTAAAATGACAGCAAAATACTCCTCTGTTATTCTATCTTTTGAGAAGGTTAAATAATTTACATGCTAATAACTTTTCTTAGCTATACAGCAGCAACATTTTCAAGGTGAATCCATACGTTTTATCCACTATTTATTTTATATATCACAAACGTATCTAAAGTATATTACTTTTCTGAGTTGAAAGCAAAACTTTTCAAATAACATACTAAATCAATTATTAAAAACATACATTTCAGATACAAAAAGGTACAAGGTAAGAGACTATAACTGAGCTTTGATTACAATAAAGCCCAGTCTTGTCTTCTTCCAGATTGCTTTACACCTGTGATGTCAGGCATTGCTAAGGAATAAGGTCTCTCTCTCTCATGCTAGCGTTAATCCTGCATCAGCAGGGTCCACTTGGAGCTGACGTTGCCATTAAAAACAAAGTAATATAGCCAGTTCATAGAGGGGGATTATTAGGAGTCATGGGAAATTTGGCCAGGACGCCGGGGTTACACCCCTACTCTTTTCGAGAAACACCCTGGGATTTTTAATGACCAAAGAGAGTCAGGACCTCGGTTTTACGTCTCATCCGAAAGACGGCGCTTGTTTACAGTATAGTGTCTCCGTCACTATACTGGGGCATTAGGACCCACATGGACCGCTGGCCTCACTAACACCTCTTCCAGCAGCAACCTTAGTTTTTCCCTTCCTCCTGCAAAGGAATAAGTTAAACCTATTATTATTATTAAAAAATACATGATATGAAGCTGTTACCATCTAAGTACAGCCCAGAAGAAAACCATGTGAAGGTTATGAAGTTGTGAAGGAAATATAGGTGGCCTACAAAACTAACTAAATATCCAAGGCTTGACAAATTTTGCCAAACTATACAGGCTTCAGCTATTGTCACCCATGATGATTACTGATGATACAGTGAAGAACACTAATTGGAAGCTGCAACAAAATGTGTTTTTTTTCAGCAGCAGCTTCAATGTCAGTTTTCATATCCTTAGCAATTCCTGCTCTAATCCAAGGCAAAATAAATGATGGTACTGGAAACGCATGGTGAGCATGCATATATTATTATTTGTTTTCTTTACTTTAATTAAACAGAAGATGGGTTTCCAGGCCTACAGGGCAAATCTCATTAATCATAGTTGGTTGGGAATGTATGGCGACTGCCATAAAGCTGCTTTGTCTCAGTGTAATCAGCCCCATTACCTAGCTGTCATAACAATTTAGGATTTCAAAATTCGGAAAAATCTGATAGAAGGATGGCTTCTGGTCTTTTATCAGCACAAAAAGTATAGATTTGGATTATAGGAGGGAAACAGTACTAAATAAAATATTCTTGCTGAGTTAGGGGGAAATGCATCAAGACAAAAATTAAAACACTGACAGAAATATGACAAATAAGACAATGTGTGGAAATAAGGTGCCGAGAGGGGAAGAGTGGACGAAATGGACAGAACAAAAGTCAGATTAAGAAAGGATTGAAGATATCTCTGAATTTTGCAATGAGTATGTTATTGTACCCAGAAATGGACTCCTGGTTGTTACTATGATTCTACATTTGCCTCCTATATGAAGTACAAATGTATCCAAATTGATGACTTGTGTCTATTATCTCATGCAGACTGAGCTCTTCTCCAGCTGGTAGTGAACACCTACATTAGCTAAACTCGATCCTCTGCTTCTGTACTCGCACTTTCAGGTGGAATGTTTTACCAAGTGACAAGGAATGATGTAACTGCTCAGTGAATGTCTCTTGAGTTTGGCTTTCAATTTGAAGTTAACAGTAGACAGCAAACAGTAATTAGTAATAATTTGTACAGGTACAAGAAAGATGGGATTTGCCTTTATGCATTAAAGCAGTAATTGGAATTTACAGGCTACCAGTGTGCAGTTACAGAGATGTGAATATTGATTTAGGTGGCAAAGTTCTTACTTTGCCAAACTACAGTACAAGACTTTAACATGTATGTCTGCTACTAACTTTTTTAAAGTGTTGTAATTCAAAGTGCCAGACAGTGAAAATGTTTGTGATAACCCCCTAATATTTCCTGAAGTTAAGCACATTTAAGTTCTGTGGTGAAGTATATTTAAGTTACTGTAGCTTATACAGTTCTGTAGAAGTACTATTTCACTTCTCCCAAAGTCATGTTTTCATTACTGAAGAAACACTAAGTTTAGTTATGGCCAAAATACCTTTTAAATTGCAAAAAGGAAGGCTAAAATTATATATTCACTGATGCAATCACTCTAAGCATTTTAAAATATGAGAAAATCCAATAGGAACAGGCAACAGGAAATCCAGTGTCCCACAAACAAAGAATTTAAGAAGAAGTATTAGAAATGAGAGTAGGGTATTTGGCCACTTTGATTGCGTGGGTCTACTTGACTTTCCAAATCCAGCCTAACTTCTTCTGGAAGGTTCCCAGAGTGTCAGCTTCAACATTGTGACTGGGCAGCTTGCTCTAGATTCCCAGTATAAAGAAGCATGTTCTATTCTTAGTCCTGCACGTATTTTAATGTTTAATTTACATTTGTGATCCTAAATCCGTTTTACATTTTTGAGTTTGAATGACTTTATATACCTTCGCATAGGGTTGACTTTATTTACCTTTGAGGATTCCTAACCTTAATTCAAATTCCCTCACCATCTCCCCCATTTAAAATTAAAAAGATTTGGTTCCATAAGCCTATCTACACTTTTGGCTACACCAAAAATAAACCTAATTACTTTTCTCTGAGTAGTTTTAAGGGCAGCCATATCCTTTCACAAATTATTGACCACAAAAATAAACTTAGAGAAAATACCTATGTGTGTTCGCAGCTGTCTTGCTTTCGCAACTAAGTAATCCACTCTTTTCCACATTTAACTTCACAAACTACACCAGAATTCAAATCAATTACATCACTGAACCAGGAAGAGCAATGGCCCTAAAACAGATCCATGTGGAACGCAACTAGTTACATGTGTTTTACATTATCACTACTCTGTTAAAGTAACTTTTTACTGTGAGTATGTAAATCTAAGTCCATCTTATCCAAAGTTCTATTCTTTTCCTTGAGCACTTTTTCTAATTCATAGAAAAGCTAAATATTTGAACAACATTTACAGCTTCAAAGCAGAGGGGATCTTTGCTGAAATGCACTGAGAAGTTGTGGGTAAATGATTGTCAATGAGCAGTCATGAAGCACAGTAATTAATACATTAAGACCACAGAGGGGAGGAGAAAAGGAAGACAGAAGAGAAGAAGAGGAAAGGAGATGAGAGAAGGGCAGGCCACAAGAGAGAGGGGAGTCAGGAGGAGTTGGAACTTGAAACTTGCGCCAGGTGAAAGCCCTTACTTCATTTTCGTCCAGACAAAATCTGATCGTACCTGAGTATTTAAGCCGTGCTAGAGAGAGTTTACTATGTGGTGTTTTTAGGGAACTTGGGTTTCCTAAGGAAAAGATACCTCGGTTAAACACAGAATAGGGAGATAAGCTCCCATCTTTATTGTGGCATCAGAGTTTGCAGCGAGACAGATTTAACTGTAGGTTGTATTGCATTTATTTAGAAGGCAGCTTTTTTCTTATTTTATCCTCTTTAGGCATATTTTAAGAGTTTAATACTTAGTAACAGTCTGGGGTTTTCTGGGTGATTAGGATGTCAGGCCTCCGAAATGCCTTGTCTATACATACTGTAAATATAGTAACTTGTGTGTGTAGATTTTGTTGTGTGTAGTATTTGTATTGTCATTGTTAATAATCATTTGTTTAAGCCAGTGTGCCTGGATTATTACTGTTTCACCAAAGCTGTGCCAGAGAACAAAGAATTCACATGTCTCTAATGTATACCAACCACTTGGGTATATTCTGGAGAAATCACTTAGAAATTGGGAGTTAATAACACTATTTGACTATTTGACTAAACCACTCAGTCAATTGCTGATATTCACCACATTTGTAACCCCCCCTCCCCCACACCCCTTGTAACAGTAGTTTAAATATTGTTTTAAAAAACATTGCAAAAACAAAACATAAAAGGAGGCTGATTGGCTTATGTTGCCCTGGGATTATGATGACATTTCTTTATACTGTAGATATATTTGCAATTTTGAAATTACTTGTATCACTCCCTGTCATTTGTAAGATCCATTTCCCCTATAGGAGCAGCTAGAAAGCTATTTATGAGCTATGACAATATTAAATGTCTATTTGATAGTTGTACCTTTACATTTTCAAGATTTCCCAGGGCTGCTTAATCAACTTGAGGCATGCAATCTCCATTTTCATTAGTAAACACCACCACAGTTTCCATTTTCTTTTCATTATATAAAATTAATCCTTTTAGATCCTTTATACAGTACATCTTACTTTCTATCTGATATACTTTTGCAAAAAAAACCTTTGTATTAGAGTATAGCCACAATTAAATATTATTTTCTATTTCTCTAAGAATTTTTATTTTTTCATTTCCACTTGTAATTTAATGTTTATTTGGGTCTTAAATGGTGTCTTTATCTCTCTTGCACAGGGTTGGAGTGTGTTTTAAGAGCAAGCAGTAGCTCTTGAATCAGTTATACAAAAGAATATTCATTAGCTATCATTGTTTTACAATACTTGTGAGGAAGAACCATCTAAACAGACTTTTAATTGTAATTCAGCATATATACATTCAATGTTAACAGCTGCCATTCACTTTTATTAGGACTCATTAGCAGGCCATACTGTAACTTTGATCAGTGAAACAAGAGTATATACTGTATGTATCTTACAATGCAATCTTTTCAAGGTTATGCCATGTTTTGAGAACAAGCAGTCACTATGAAGTATGGGAATGAATATGCATTAGTTCTCATCACTTCAACAGATACCCTGTTTATAATGTTAACCTTTCAGTTAGTTTGGCGTTTGACTGATTCCATAAACAGTCTTCCTATACCTGTGCTGTTGAAAAACATAAAACCTCATGGACACATCTGAGAAGCAGCTCTAAAAGATAAAACACGACAATGGCAAATTGCTTTTTTTACCTGTGAATCATGGCATAGCAGTACCATATAGAACTATACAGTGTGTGCCTTTGATACCCTTGCACTAGTGCAAACAGACACTATGCCCAAAGCTGTCATTTTAACTATTTACTGTAAGCATGGTCTATACCAGAAGCTTTAAATAATGTACATGCATTGACACACAGAGTGCAGAACATTCATTTGCATTCCATAGTTAATCAACCTCTGATAAACTGTACAGTATGTGGTTTCATTTAGCAGTGTCCTCTGCTAATAAAGCAATCAGGTTGTTTCATGAACATGAAGAAAAAGAAAATGCTGCTTTTCAAATAAAAAACAGCACTATGTGAATATGACACATTTCACATTTGATCAGCAATTACCTCATAGGGAAGTTTATCAAAGAAGCCGTTTCCTGTAAATTCGTGGGGACAGGGATGCCCACACTGCTTACACAGTCTCCCAGGGTCGCAGGCATCCTTTTCTTCATCACTGTCACTCAGGTCACTGATATCTATCAATGGCATCTTGTACAGGGACAAGACAGGCCTTTCTTTCACACCATGCAGAACAACTGCATCCAGTTCCGTATAGTATTCCAGCAAGGTGCTGTTCACTTCTAAACGGATGAGGTTCGTTGGGAAGTTGATTTGCTTTATGCTAGGTGAGAACTGCCGTGCCTGAGGTGTGAGCATTTTTGTAGGTTTTCCAGACCAAAGCACCTCCCATCTTAAAAAAAGGAAAGAAACAATAACTGAAGCACATGAAAAAGATTCAGAACATTAATCAGAACTCTTCATAAAGCATAACAATAAAAATATAATTTCAAATGGTTAATAACATACTAGAAAATACTATGCAAAGGAACAAGTAATAGGTTTATTCCATGCTGAAAAAAAGAAGAAAGAACACAACGTTTCGGCCGTGGAGCCTTCTTCAGGTAGAAAATACTATAGTCATTCCAACACCAGCTGGACACCAATTGTACAATATCATTTCATGAACTCTGCTATTGTTTGTAACAAAAAAACTTCACAGTTTATATTATGGCTTAACTGAAACAGGGGTTCTCAAGTTATGCAAGTTTGATGTGGGGTTTGGAGCATACATTTTAATATGTCTAATTGCTAGATTGCAAGAGCCTCCCAGAATTAATTTTGGGCAAGCAGCCCAATTTAGTGTAATTTTGCAAAAAAAAATCATATCTGACTGAGCCAACAGAACTGGATGGGTATCTGAGCAGAGAATTCTTACTTGCCTGTTAAATGGCAAAGAGGAGACATAAAAGAAGAAGAGTTTATTCTGAAACTCAGAAGAAATAGTAAAACATGAGTAGTGTTGCACTGTGAGTTTATTTATAATTTCCTGCTCAGGACAGACATAGTATTAATACGGTAAGGTTTGGAACTAAGGCAAATTAAAGGCTAATGTATGCTACTATGAGATGGGAAACAAAAATTCTTAGCAAAGGGTCTCAACCAGAATCATCAGCTTTAGTTTATTTTCACAGGTCCTAGACAATGCAGAAGTCAGCCACATTCAGACAGACCTGAGAAAATGCTATCATAACATTTGTAGGCATAGTACATCTTGGTTAGCTTTAGCTGGAAAATAGGACATAGTTATGTTTTTCTTTTTGAACACCAGCAGTGACCCTGGCAGCTTTTTCGACTAACCTGTTCGAATCAGTGTAATTGTGGTTGCAGACGTTTCGCTGACAAAAGAGACAGATGTTTTGCAACTATCTTCTGGGAGCTCTCTGGGAGCAAATCCTATCACACATTTTTGCTGGTACAGTATGTCAATATGTCCCATTCTTTACGGCTGGAGTTTTCTCACAGTCTTTGTTATAAAAATCAAAGCCTCTCCAAAGTCCCTAATTTCTGGAATGGTTTTTCAGCTTCATATAAGAATTAGTTTAACTTAATCAATATTCAAATACAGGTATACCCATATTAAAATATCTTGTTACTGCATTTTTTAGTGAAACTCTTTTGCTATCCATGAAAAATCTCCTGATGAAATAGGTGGCATAGGAACCAAATTGATGCCCAAATACAGTCCACAGCGATGATTTCACAGTCATTTCCAAGTTGTCTTTCTTAGATTTCTGGAAAAGGCTATCACTTGGATTCTTTCTAAAAGCCTGCTCTGTGTAACTTACCATAGATATCAAAACATGACAGCTTCCTACTCAAAATTAAGAAAAACACAGAATGGATAGCCATGTTATTCAACACACACAGTAAAGAGTCAGCGCTGGGTTCACCTTTGAGCTTCTATGCTTAAATATTAAACTCTGCCTGAAATGTTATCATCAAGTTAATAGAGTCACCTTCACCCTAAGTCATATTTTCAGAAACATCCACTTTTGCTGCTATTAACACAAATGTTTTAGTATCTTAATTAACCTAGCAATTTCAAACAAAATGATGCCAAAGCAATGCCTACAGCTCAAATGTTTCATTAGATACATTATCCATTTGGAAGACATAGCTAAAAATGTTTCTCAATTGCCAGTTGAGGAAAGACACAATTGTGAATTTGGAAAAGCTCACAAACATTTTCAGTAGAGTCCTTCCATCATATCACACTCACACTTATCAAATTTGGCAGATAGATTTGTCTTGCTCAAAAAGAATATTGCTCAGAAGATGCCACACAATACAACTTCTATTTTAGGATCTTCATTAACAATATTACTACATTTTTGCTTTTAATGTATAATACAAGAATATTGGTTCTCTTTCATATTCAGTTTTAGAACAAACCCAGCATAGTTTGACTGTGTGAATATGTAACACTTAACAGCTGAAATTAAGGTTAAAGATGCAAAGTGAATTGTGAAAAAAATGAAAATATATTTATTATTTTTGTATAAATATCTTCTGGGCTTATAAAAGACTAAAGCTGCACAAGATGTGTGGTGACCTTAGCCTATTTTTTCTGTAAATTGCCACTAATGTTTCTGCATAAGTTAGAAAATTGATGAATGCATGGACTATGGAACCCAGAAAATCACAATATATTTTGATCAATTTCAGGACATAACTTCTTATCAAATGACTACTGGTATTTTTTATTCCATACCATGGATTACATTACATCACATCTCTAATAGATTGCAAGACATGGTCATTTAAAGAAGTCATTGTTAAGCATTTATGTACCTACCCAGGCTTCCTTCAGGACATAGTAATCCACATGTGCTACAGAAATATTTAGGTTATAATAATATAATCAAATAGAATAGTAATTTCATATGATATTTTAAAGCTTTGGAAACATTGCATTCCCCCAAGTATTAATTTGAAGGCTATTAGAAACGAATGAATACTGTATATTAATAAACAGCAATCTTTCAGAATAACTGGCTTGGTGTGTTTTTATGTTTGATATGGTTTTCAACAAAAAAGGGGGGAGGGGAAGGACAAAAAGGATGCTAGCCAACATATAGTCATTAATCTTCACCAATGTCTGCAATATTGGTCACTCATTTGATACGCAATTCTTGTATTGGATCTCCTTACTCACATGCAATGGGAGGTAAGAGAGTTACTGTTGTACTGTAGTTCAGTAGTTGCTGAAATGGAGTCGTTGCAGTAATCATCATTAGCATCATGATCTTCTTGAAAGGTTGATGTATTTTAAGCATCCTTTAAATTCATGTATGCCTTCTTTTATATTACACGCTATCAACCATTCAGTATTTCAGTTTTCCCACACATTTTTGTATTGAATTTTGCTTCAATATTGGAGACTCCCCACTGACACACAAGCAGTCACTGAAATGTTTACTTTCTTAACCAGCCAAATGGACATCTGGACCTTTGTGGCTGTGGCTCACAGCAAATCCAGCTGCATCTTCAACAGCACACACATTAGCAGGAGGCACGTTTGCAGTGTTCCTACGGTACATGTACATTTCTCATGACAAGGTTCACAAATACTCTACACAGCTACTGGAGGAGCTGATGGGAATTTCAGAACATCCAAAGATAGCTTTCAGACCTCTAAGAAAGTTTCTTGGTATATATTTTGAAGAGATCACAACAGACATTTTTTTTCAGCGTACGTAGCCAGACAAAAAAAAAAAACTCATTTTAAAATCTATTAAAACTAGTTTCAACTAGAACTACTTTCCTTCAACTCTCAATTTAAGTTTTGAAGTTTTACTAGATGTGGTAGTTTACAACAAAAATACTTATAGCTGGCATAAACGTCTGTGCTATTAATTAAACTGTAATGACCAGGAGTGGAGAACCAAACCGTTTTAAATTTCAGGCAGGTTTTGAATGATGACTTGCTTGGAATGACAACTTCATTCAGCTATTACCTCTGTAGAGTCTGTAGAAAATCATACCAAAAAAAAAAAACACAAGATGGTCTTTCTGAAAAACGTAGATTCATTTTTTTATATGAAAGATGAATAATAATTCCTAACAAACCTCAAAGACTATTAGCACACGCAAAGAACTTAAATATTATTAAAAAAAACTATGACTGTAGCATATGCTGATTAGAAGTTACAATGTCTCTAAGGAAGCCTAGGAAAGCTCAAATAATTTTTGAGATAAGGTCATTTTTGTGATATTATTTGTGAAATTTTGTCTCAAATCCTCCCTTGACAAGACGTATATGCCAACTTTCAGGATCATTTGAGCTGGTCATGTCAATATAACGGTTGTGTTCCATGGAATTACCCATTAAACTCTTGAATAGTGCTGTTCAGGGTGTCATGGAATGAATCGGTTATTCATGTGGTGCCTACTGGTAAACCTGCAAAAGATATCAGCCTTATCCTTTAACCATGAAAATAACTGGCAAGGACACGGAGTATTGCCTTTCTGTAACATTAAATTACTCAATTAATTTTCAATTCAATTACAGCTACTAAGAAACAACATTTAATAGACATACGTCATGTTTAAACTAACACTGAATAAAGTGATTTGCAATTAAGAGTGCTGAGAGAGGTATGAAATGTAAACAGTGAATACCAATTGACTTTAATATTTCATTAGTTTATTTATTTGATTGCATGTTGTCTTTTAGTATTTTTTAAGGAGATATACTAGTACATAACCATGTCACATAATACAACTTCTATTTTAAGATCTTCATTAAGTATATTACTATATTTGTGCTTGTAATGGATAATGCAAGAACACTGGTCCTCTTTATATTCAGTTTTAGAACAAATCCAGTAATAGTACGATTGCATAAATATGTAATGCTTAATACCCGAAAATAAAGGTTAATGATGCAAAGTGAATTGTTAGAAATTTTTGACACTGTTTTATCATCAATTTCTTCTGGGTATATAAAAGACTAAAGCAGCACAAAATGTGTTGTGACCTTAATTTACTTTTGTATTAAGTTGCCACCTTGGTGCTGCTTAAGTTAGAAAACCAGTACATGGATGGACTATGGAGCGCCCCCAAAAAAATCACAATATCTTATTAATATTTTCAGGACATTTGGTCATATCAAATGACTATGGGTTTTTATTCTGTACCATGGATTACAAAATTATTTCAGACTTGTTTCTCTTCTCACTACAGACAACAATAGCACATAGCATTAACAGAAAAGGAGTCTGTGCCATATGAAATCCATCTATGACATTTCTAGCCCCTTTATCCAATGAGGTGTTGGGGGGAGCCAAAGCCAACCACTGCAAGCAACGGGCCCAAGGCAGGACACTTCCTAGACGGGACACCAGTCCATCACAGGGCAGACACAGATACAAACACACTCATAGGGCCAATCTTCCCAGAGGCCAATTAACCTATGAGTTTTTCTTTGGACTGTGCGAGGAACCAGAGCACTGGGAGTAAACCCACATGAACACAGAGAGAACATACAAACTCCAATCAGGTGGTTAACCGCCATTGTTAACCACTGCTCCAAAACGCTGGCCTCTGTAAGAGATCAATCACCAATATTCTGATTAAAATGTGTACATTTGCCTTTAGAATAAAACATTAGTGGTATAGGTTTCGATTTAGATCGCCATGCAAGAAAGGCCCAATTTTCCTTCATACCTGACACTTTAATATGAACTTGCTTATTGGTAAGACTCTTGATGAGCAATTTGCCACACAATGAAACATGTCGGCTTACTCTCGAGGGGAGAAGACAGACATTTTTCCTGTTTACATTGAGAAAGTCAGGAAAAAGGGAGCACCTACAGAAATAAAGGGAAAGATTTGCCCTAAGTGTAAGACGGCCTATACAATGGAACTGCTCGGACCACTTTTAACAGTGCATCTGTTCACTCTGCTTTAATGTCTAATAACCAACTGCAGAAGGATGTGCCTTCAAACATTAATGGGTGAGCTGCAGAATTCTGGAAACGTCACAAATATGAAAAATTAATAAGTTAACCATTGTTTATATATATATAACTTTTGTGCAGTGACCAAAGTGTCAATGTTTCAAGCTTAATTTATAAACAAGACAGAAGACTGTTCACAGGGGAATTGTGAGTGTGGTGCAGTTCACCTTTTTCACATCTCCCGACATGAAAAAGAAAAAAAGAAAGCAGCTGAGCAAGTGTTTCACTGCCATCAAGATCTGCCAGAATAAGCTGACTATGCACTTTGACGCAGACACATAAACATTGAAATAAGTAACTATATTAATAATACTGTGCATGAAATGATAATGCACGCGTGCGAGTGCTGGGGGGGGTCTTTTTCTGTGATCATTTCTCCCAAAAGAAAAACACGTGGACAAGTTTTCAAACATGAATTAAAAGCAAAGATGGATGGGGATTCCAGCGATCGATATCTTATGACCCAGAACTACAGCCACCAGTCATTAGGACAATATCAGTTTCAACCGATAGAACTACAGACTCAGCATCGCTTTTATTTAAAAAGAAGTTCTCCAGCTCATTTAAACCCCTCTTGTGCTGACTGAATGGTGATTAGGGTTTTACCTGACGTCGGCTGGTGGGTTCTGGGAGAAAGGATTGAGTGAGCAGGCAAGAATCCGCACAACAGCCCCTGGGTGGTACGTTTCCATAACATCGATAGCCGTTGGATAAACGGGCTCTTCGAACGCAAGCTCTACAAAGTCCCGACTCTGAAAGGTAAGAGGAGTCCTTCGAAAGGCTTGGGGGGCGCTGGCACACTGCTCCCACCATTTTCCATACGTGCGAAACACAGCAGTCTGCGTAAAATCTCCGGAGCTAGGATACACGTTGGGCATCCCGGCCAAGTTCCACATGGTGTAGGACATGCTGTTCTCGCTGCCATAATGAGAACTGAAGTCGAGCACTTCTTTGGCAAACTGTTCCACTTCGACAGTGAGAGGTAGAGTCCGGTGGTTGGATTCAATGGCTCTGCGACTGTTCATGACTTCCCCTCTTGTTCCTGTCCTGGCTCGGCGCCGGAGACAGATATAGTAAAACATGCTCAGGACTGTTAGCATGGGGAACATTGGGCTTGAATTCGACTAGGTTGAAAGCAGCAGAGCCAGGCTGGATTTTGCCACATGCATAACCTGCAAGGTTAAAAGGAAAAACAGCATAAGAGCAGCAAAAGTAACATGTGGTACTATAAGATTAGACCACTTTATCGGCCATATGACAAAGTCTTTATACAAGAAATTGTTTTTCGGATACCCCTACTTGCTCTCCATTAAACACAGACAGGGAGAGAAACTTAAAGTCAGAGCACAGGGTCAGCCATTTATACAGCGCCCCTGGAGCAGTTGGGGTTAAGAGCCTTGCTCAGGGGCCCAACGGATAGGGATACGAACCTGCAACCTTCCAGCCACAGAGCCAGCCCTCCACCCATTTAGGTTACAATCTGAAATTTACATTTAATCACCTAAAACTAGACAATCAGTAACGTACAAAATGAGGCTCCATACTGGTACATGATAATGTCTTGGTGGAGGGTTAATTTGACCTATGTGATTTTCATACGTATCAGCACTGATAATTGAGCTATTTAAATGATAAGGCTACTCTAATTCATTATGTGCACCAATGATTGGTCAAACTGTTCAAAATAGAATGTAAGTCTAGTCACTAACTGTAAAAAGGAGTAATTATACTCCCAAATCCAACAATGGAAAAAAAAAGTGCCTTTTTAAATTTTAAGTATTAAAACTCCGGTACTGGTAAATCATTACTTTGAAAACCTTCAATGCTTTGAAAACTATGAATTAAAACCAATGACATGTGACTAAATGTTAGCTTCAGATCAAAGCCTAATAACTCTCCATACAGTTAAGCCACTTTCTATTTTTATCACATGTTCTACATAACGTCAATTAGTAACAAAACAAAAATATCCAAGTAAGATAATTAAACAGAAAACAATATAAGATTTTAAAAAACAACTGACTAGGGTGTCTTGGGAGGAAAAAAAAAACGAAGCCTTGCAAGGAGTTCTGACTTGCCACTAACTCTTTGACAGCTGTTTATGTGATCACTGAACATGTTATGTGAAGACACACTTGAAGTGAACCTGATCAGGAAGCCTTAAATAGCTCCCTCTCCATCTCAGGACCTAAAAGGACCTAATAGCTTTCAATATCCCTTAAAATACAAACCGTAATGTTTAGACTCATGTAGCTTTAACACAATGATTTGAAATATACTCCAGACAGGACTTCTTTCCAAGCAATTTAGATACTGCAATGAGACAAGCCAGCAAACACACAACATGTTTACAATCTTTCCAAATGCTGCTGGACATGTTGTGATTAGAGGTTTTAGAGAACTGGACACAACAGGAAATGATGTTTAGGAGTGTCCAAGACTCACCGTTAGGAAGAGGACTGTGAGAGCAAAGAACCAGTTCCCTAGTCTTGTGGGAAGTGATTCCTGATTTAGAAACAGATGGGAATTCTTAGACCATGAACCTACTAGCAACCAAACAAGCTCGACTGTGACCTTTTTCAAGTTATGTTCCACAGCGTAGTTAATGCTGTGCAGAAAAAAACCTTCCTGCACTACCCAACCTTGCGTAGATAAAGGTACAGCACCGACTCCAGAGGAAATGCGGTAAATAGGTAAAGTTTCCCCCCAGCAACGACAGATCATTCACAGAGAGCAAAACACATGGCCCAAGACAGCAGCTGTCCTCTGTGGTCAGTAACTTTGGCTAAATTATTCCCATAGGGGCACTCAAATAAATTAGGCAATAACAGAATAACAAAAATAAAAATAACAGAAAAGGTATGATATTAGCTTTGGCTACAGTTAATTGACCTTTAAAGATTTTACTATTCAACTAAACATATCACCCATTCCTGACAATCCATGGTATTCCGTGATACAATTTAACAAAACCTCCTAATTTGCTTAGAAGTGTCCTCTCATAGCAGACCAGTCAACCCTAAACATCTACACCATCTCAGATATGTAATTAAACACATCAGCTTTGCTGCAGCTACTTAATGCTGGAACAATCTGATATATGACCCGCCTTAACTTTGACCTGCTTGTCCAGTTAGGTTAGACTTAGAAATTTGGAGAGTTTCCATAGAAACATTTAAACAAACAATACAATAGTGATGAATCAACAAAGCAATTTGTTAAAACACAACACATTTGTCATGAAAAGGTCCAAAACCGTTTCAGCCCTCTGGAAAATAATGTTACCATACATTAACATTAAGAGACTAACCAGATTAAAGCATTTTCATCTGAAACTCAACGCACATGTGGAAACTATGAACATGGTGCCGTATGTTCTACCCGTGAAGTTAACAGATGCAAATAAATGTCATATTATTCCAATGCGATCCCAAAGTTATAGATAACTATATAAAATATACCACTTATTTAATTAATTCTGAACTGTATGCTCCGCAAGGTAAATAACATAAAACGGAACATATGATAAAAACAATGTTGAACAATGTTTAATATCGCTCTTCATTTACGATTTTATAATTTTACAATTAACTAAATGTGTGTGTGTTTAGCCTGTGTCTCGGTTTGGCAGTAGGCGTCAGCAATAAAAACAACAGAATACTAAAATCTACATTTCCTATTTTAATTATATTGTTCTTTAAGCTTGAAAAGCATTTTGCACTCATTCAAGGTATGAAACACACTGTCTCCGTCTTTACAATTTATTTTAGTCAAACCCTTTCACTCGTTGTACTTTAAAACGGGCAATAAAAAGTACCAAACTCTGGCAGAGATGACAATATCTGATTACGATTTCAACATGAATTTATAAAGGTACCCCAAAAAACAAAGCAACAAAACAAAACGATATAACTACAGCTTTGCTTACGGTGTCAGTTTGGGTTAGCATTGCTAAATGCTTTCTTTTTCTCGTTTGTTTACTAAAGTAGGAAGCATTTAGCTGGTGCAAGCCATTCCTGTTATTTACAAATTATACTTGACAGAGTCTGAATAAAAGAGGGATTCATTCACTATAACAAATAGCTTTCAACACAAAATACTTACAGCATTTACTAAACTTATGTCATAATATAAACTTGTCATATTTCCACCACTCTTCCTGCAACAACCCCCACCGGTACGACCTAACAGTGCACAGTTTACCTCAAGTTTCAACATCCGTTTATATCCGGTTACGGCAGTGTCAAAGGATTGTGGGAATTGTAGTTGGTGTTTATCGTTGCTACTTCCGACGTCTTATTGTTTGATACAAACGGATTTGAGCAGTAAATAATGAACTTTTAAAGTGTAAACGTCAGTTATTTAAGAAAAAAATCTTTACTGAAGGTCATCATTGTTAAGATGTGGCTGTGTTACAAGTTTCTACTGGTGGGTGCATTAACTGATTTATATTGACAACTGGGCTACAAGTAAAAGGCTAAATTCAGGGTAAATTTCTAAAATAAGGGCCGATATACATGTATGTTTTCTGTCTAAATCAAATATCAATTACATCCCTAATAAATGCAAAGCACCTTTGAAATTCCTTCAAAGCCTTGTTTTGTCAGTTCATGATATAATTTGTGATATAATTGTTGTTCCAAATGTGTCGAGAGTGTCTCTGCCCTCATCAGGAATCTAATATGGCCATTCACAGACAGCTGTGGCTTCAAAGCCGCACAGCAGCATGTCTCAGACAGCAGAGAGCTCCATTACCCCAACAGGCAGGACCTTCTGTTGCAGGAGAATTAAACACCACTCAGTTTCCAAGGGTCCAATAAGTCCTGTCACACAAAGACAATCTCATAGTTTGGAAGAAAATCCCCTTTTCATGCTGGTGTAAATTTTAGCAGTAATGCACTACAATTTCCTGTGTCAGTTCATGTGTACTGAGCGGCTTCCACAATAGTTAATCTATTGTGCAGTCTATTGTGGTAAAAACAAACCAAAAATGTGCTTTCCATTTTTTTCATTATACTCATGCCATATCTCTAAAATGCTGCTCAAGACAGTTAATCCAGTATTTCACTTCAGCTCAAAGGTTAATGTGTGATGCTTATATGCCAATAGAATATTTTATTTACACTAAGAACAGGTAAACAAAACAAAAAAAATAGATAAAAAGACAAATCTAAGTCTTTTTCAGGTAGAGTCAAATAACAGGTGTGCCTCAGAACTGTTCTGCCTGCTTCAGCCTCATATGCACTGAAACACACTCTCAACAGCAGGTGTGTCTCCCAGAACAAACCAAATTTGGCTCACCAGCATAGCCTTCTGGGTATTTTAGTTCTTACCAGTTTTTCTGCTCTTCAGAGGACTGCACTTCTCTGCAACAGTGGTATCAAGGGCATGGAGTTCCCTAAGAGTCATAGCCTAAACAATGGCCTGGCCCCATATTCCATCGAAATTCAGATAAGTCTCTACTGTACATTGGTTGCCCATAAAGTCACATATTCAAAACAAGATATTGTTACTGATGTTTAAGGCCTTGAATAATCAAAACGATACATTTCTAAAAGCCTTCTTGTTTACACTCCTTCTCGTAGGCTCTTTTCAGTGGAGACTGGTTCTTCGCTCGCTGTAGCTAGAACAATATCTCGGTCTTTTGGTGACCATTTTCAACCTGTCACTTCTCCTTTGTTGTGGAATGCCCTTCCTCTGACTCTTCGAGATACAAATTCTTTATCTCTCTTCAAAGCAAGTTCAAAACTCACCTTTTTACTGGGGCCTATGTCGTATTTCTTATATTCTGTCCTGTTTTTGTTTCATTTTTTCTTTTACTTTTTATTGTACTTTTTTTTCTTTGTCACAATATACAGTGTCCTACAGTGTCTTAAGGTCTGGAAAGGCACTTTACATAAAATAAAAGGTTTTCTTTTTCAATTCCACCCGAGCCCCCTTTGAGCAGTGACTGGGGTATTGTTGACTCTGTGATTTTTGGACATTTTCTCCCATCTCTACCCCTGTACTCTGTAACTCCTTCGGTGTTGGAATTGTGGCATCTCCTCACCTGGTTGCTCAGACTGGAGGGATGGCCTGATCTACTGAAAACTGAAGTCTGAATGCTTTCCATTTCTCAAGGATCGACTTCATCAGGCTCACCAGACCCTTTATACCCTTCTCCTGATCTGGGTGATTAGCCAGCTTTATCCCTGAATTGTCTGGAAAGCTCCTCGGTCTTCATGCTTGCTTGAAATTTACCACCTGCCTGAGGGATCTTACAGACACAGGTCTATTTATTCTGAAATCATATGATGATCATATCCCGAGGCCACTTAACTACTTGTTTGGCTCCTTAAAACTAATTTAGATTTACCACAGCAAAGGACTGGAAGGCTTATACAGTCAGGACATTTCCATTTTTCTTTCATATTAATCATCTGTTTTTTTCTTTTTCTTTACATTTTTTGCTTTGAATCTGTAGAGTAGGTTTAAGATATATTAAATTTAAATGCGGATTGAAAGTGTCATGACTGCAAAACCTTAAAGCCACAAAAACTGAAAACAGTCAAGGGTCTGAATACGTTTGCCAGGTACTGTATGCTAGTCTGTATGTTAAGTGTTTAATCAAATTCACATTGGTAATGTTGTCATTAAAATGCATCTTCTGAATGTGAAACAAAAAAAGTGAATGCCATTATTAAGAGAACAATTACCCAGCCAGAATGCTGTCGTTTTTGTGTATGAAAGGTTAAGAAATAAAGGGATGAGAAACGTGAAGTCCCATCTCCTTCCGTTTCAGTAGTTTCGATCAACATCTGATTAAGACCCGAGGAAACAGGAGACAGGGATTCTAATCAAACCCAAATACTTCATTTCAGAAACACCATGGCCACCCAGGGCTGGGGTTATGTAGGATATTGGATCCAGATTTCATGATTGAAGGTACAATCTAAAAGAATGCACAGGAAGGCCCAAGCCTGAATCCTGCCAACAAGCAAAACTTTCTGCATCTTGAGTGGATTATCTGATGTGAACATTGAAACTATGCAGTATTGAAAGAAGGTAAATGGAAAATGTCGACTTTAGTTGAATTATCTCATTATTCTTTTTTTTTTCTCAAACAGACCCTTCTTAAACCTTCCTTTAGTGCCATATTTCCTGTGTATGTATTTATGGAGCTGAGGCTTACTGTACCCCTGCATTCAGCAATTGGTTCTGTGGAATGTTGATATCCTGCCCCGTTCCTGACCTTGAGGGCTTTTTGTACACAGTTTCACTCCCTTCTTAAATCCTAAAAATATTATATTACCAAACACAAAGCCTTTCACAAAAATCATTGTTTGATATGTTGAATAAAACATTTGTCAATCAAAAATCTCTAAGAATGTGCCGATGTGACATTTATTCTTTCATAAATCAACCGAGTCTCCTGTGGCTTGCCTTTTCCTTCTCTTTTGAAACACGGCTAGGGGCACATATCATACTAGGGGGCATGTTGATGATTGCCAGTCACGATTCCTGCCTTGTTTACTATAATGAGGAGAGTAATAAATTCATGTGACCATTCTTGGCTGGCATTTGCATAGATGAATGATTTGTCCAGTCATTTGCTCTCCAGTGGTTTGAGCCCCTATTGTCAGTACAAAGAGCATTCAGTCTCTCTGGAATCCACAGTGGCCAATCTGTCATTAGCAAACATCCTGTGCCAGGAATGATTCAGACAATTACAATTGAATAAATAAACTCCTTCAAAAAAACACATTTTAGATGATGGCTCCAAACATCAAAACTTTTAAGTGAATTGCTGACATTTCTACAACAGTCAAAGAGCTGTTTCTTATTTTGCAACAGAAACAAAAGGCCTTTTTTTTACAGGTTTGATTGCTTTACTGCATTGTGGCTTTTGAAATGATGTGTCAGCTATGTATTCTTAATTCCAGTGGTTAATATGTAAATACAAAGGATTAGGTTCTGTTGTAAATTCTTGTATTTTATGCATACTATACATTTTTCAGACATTTGGATCTTGAAAAGGGTATTAACTGTTTACTGTACATTCAGACTTGTATTGAGGACACTCAATATATATATATAATTTTCTCATTTTAAATAATCAATGATTTTTCTAATTTTCTCATTTTCAATCATGATACAAGCGATTCATCCTGAATAGAGTACTTAGTTTAGCAGTTTAGTTATATACAGTATATAAACATAATTCTAGCTTGTATTTTAAAGAAAAACCTGTATCAGTTACTGTATATCAACACATTATTTTGTTGAGCTTTATTCCATTATAGAGGCTGTCAATATGTTTGACATGACTGTAGACAGATAGGTTTATATTTTATTCTTCTGTGAAATCTCTACCATCATTATCTTCCAACTTTGTTCTGAAGGAGAAAATCCACGAAAAATAGTCCAAATAAAACACCATAATTTTAGTAAACCAGTTTTTTAAAAATGAAAAAGACTTGTCTGCTTTAAATATTAGTGAAAATGACAGCTGTCCTCTGAGTCATTTTGTCACTTTCCCTACTGAGAGACAAGATTCATACGCTGCTCCAGCATGTAATGCTACTGTCAGTACTTGTGAATTTCCATAAATCATTCAACACTTATTAAAAAGAGCATCAAGCCATTTTTTCCCACTGTTACTCTATTGTACCTATTTTTTTCTTTTCTTTTTTATTTTAAAGTGAAATGTTGGGGGAGACAGTGGGTGGCAGTAACATCCACTAACGTTTCTTTTAGCTTTTACTTTGCTAGTAATTTACAATGTACGACTGTAACTGTTTTTTAAACTTATGATCATTTTGGAACATACTAAAACTGAAGGAGTAGTAACTCCAGTTTGGTGGAATTTGGCTCACACCTTAGGAGGCAGCTCTGACAACTCAGCTGCAAATGCGGTGACAGCAGAGAAAACACCACATCGTGTTGATCAGCTGGATGTCAGAATGCATGCCTGGGTTATTATGTTCCTCTCCTGGTTGAAAACACCATCTTGTTACCCAAATTTTCTAACTTTGATAACTTTGATTTCCAAGCTATTTCTTTGGTATCATGTCAAATAAAAAGCTTAGCCAGATAGGTACTTTACTGTTCTGGTATCGTACAGATATGTGCTATAGGCACATTCTAGGCTAGAAGATCACTGTTAAAATAAAAGTGAGCTATACTGGTCCATTTAAACGTTCTGTAAATATTTAATGCTGTGG